CGACAGGGTGAATTTGATCTGGGTATTATTCAACAGAAATTGCATTCAATTCACATCAACTATAAGACAGTAGCAAGTTGGTTAAAATATTGAAAAAAATTTATCATTGTCAGGTTTTTACTTCTTTCCTGTAAAGAATTATGCACTCGGTATTTGGTAAATATTTCTGTCAATTTTTTTATGCTTTGGCTTGAGTGTTTTTGACAAAGATAGCTTATTCAATTCTCTGTAAAATTTAAAAGAAAAAGCTCTTGAAAAGAATAATCCAAAAAACCAAATCTGATCAGCAATATTACACTCGAAAAAGATTGACTGTCATAGACACTTTTCTTTGAAAATCAAATTATTTCATTTCTCTTAACTAAGCAGAATTTAGATCATTTTAAGTGCTTTTTTGAAAAGCTGTTTTTGAACTTTGTAAAGTATTGCACAGATTATCTTTTCGAAAAAAATCAAGTCAACGCATCAAAAATTAACTTAGACATTCACAACAATAATGTGGATAATTCTTTCCAGAAAAGAATTAAAAAATGACTTTGATAAAATTGTTTTCAATACGTTTACCAATGTTCCACTTTCGAATGGTTGACATAAATACAGTGTGATTTCTGTTGAATAATAGTTTAGATGCTACTCTTTAAATATATATATATATATACTCAGTACTTGTCCACTTTTTAGTATGGTACAGATATAAACGAAATAAAAATTGCGATCGTTACTTATGACACACTCTTTAGAGATGAGTTTTCCACGTTGATTCAAATATTGGTTTATATTTTCATCATTCTATCAATGTTGGATAATATAACTTTATCATTTTGACTGAAAAACATATTATATCTAGACTAACTGTTGGTCAAATAGTGAGATAATATAAATAGATATTTCTTGATTACAATCATGTAGACATACATTGATCGAAATCAGCCTAACTTCGATAAAATACTTTTTCCTGTGAAAAGATTTCAAAAGATGATATGCATAGTTCATTCTCAGCGAATTATATATTTTCATCTGCATTCGTAATATAAATCCTTGTTTGTTCGTAATTCTTCATTGTCAAACACTGCTCATATCAATTGCTTCCGAAAAGAAATGTTAGGATATGGTGTCTTGCTTTTTTTTCTTTAAGTGTCACCAAACACGTACAATAAAGGAGCAAAACATTTATAAAAAAAGAGACGAAATCCAAAGAAAATTGTCAGTGTTCAAAGTTCCGACACGGTAGTCTCATACAATGAAGATGAGAGAAATTATCAACAATCAGACGAGAGATTAGATATCCATGTTGAAATCGATTCAATGAATAATTGTGGTAACAAAAATACAAATTCAAATGAACCCAATAACATTCGTGATTTAATTATAGCTTTTATAAAGGAAAGTCAAAATAAAATTACTGCTGAGACTGCAAACAGAAATAATCGACTGATTACAAATGGTGGTATCACCGGCATCAACGATTTTCTCAGTCCCGTGATAGGATATGCTGCAGAGATCTTATTACCAATTCATGAAGCATGTGCTCAATTAGCTGACATTCTCTATAATCTATCATTCTAGGTAGAAGCGGCACTCTATGAAACACCATCGGAGCCACCCGATGGACTAATCGTAGACGAGAGTGCTGCGATTCGTCCCTATACTATAGAATGGGAAAAACCACATCGAAGTCTCTATTCAATGCTTAACCATACTATCAAGAAAACGTCACGTGAAGAACTGCGACCTTATTTCAAGTATCTCAAGTTATTTTTGACTGCTCTCGTTAAAATACCATGTGTACCACCGTTAACGGTTTGGCGAGGTGTAAACAAAGATTATACTAGTGATTTTTCACAAGCTACTCTCGTAACATGGTGAGCATTTTCATCATGCACTCATGACTTAACCGCATTAGAAAACAGCAATTACCTAGGTACAAGTGGAGACAGAACTCGTTTCTCTATTGAAGCGAACAATGGTCGTTCAGTGCGGGCTCATTCACATTTCGTTACCGAAGATCGAATTCTTCTTTTACCTGGTACACAAATGCAAGTTCAATCAACGTTTAGTCCGGCACCTGGTCTCTATGGAAGTCATTTAAAACAGGTAATACCGGTCGAGACTCTTCTCGAACCTCCATTTGAAGGTAAACTTAACAGAACAAGTAAGGTTCATCGACTTTAAAAGTCGATTCACTGGGCCCTAGACTGAACGCATGATGCAAGTGCAAGTACATTGTAGTACCAAACATTTTCATTCGACTTCTCATTATGGAGAGGAATGTGTCACTTGATTCAAGTGACAGTAACAAGATGAGATGAAGTAAAAGGATTCAGCGAAAAAAGCAATGGGAATAAAACTAACAGATAACAATCTTTTAGTCAGTGAAAACATTCTCTCACACCATTTGTTTTAATGATATAGTTGCTTATACGTGCGTGTATTCACTTTTAGAACGGGCAACTAGAGAAATTTCGTATATTCGACTGAGATCGGATTCATACATGTTCCTTTATTTTCCATCACGAGCATCAGTGATAGGACACAGACAGAGTATAAGGTGTATCACAAACGTACTTTAAGGTATTTGGCACAACATTACCTGAAGAGAATCCGCCGAATCGAAAACAAAAAGCGTGTCTTACGGACTGCTACTAGGTATTCAGCTGTTTATTATAGTCAAATATGTCTGTTCATTTGTTGTCGATCATCCAGTCTAACATTTGAACTTTCATTCTTGCCATCATTTACAAGTTTTTCATGTCAGAGCACGGCTCACAGTTTCTAATATTCGAAAGAAATTACTCATGTGACCGTTTTAAATACTTTTTCATCGTTTGTTCTAGCTATTGCACCCTATCTAACATTATACTATTTGTACCTAAAAACCATTAGGATAGCACCATCAAATGATATACTTGAAAACATTTCGTTGTCTCCATGGTATTGTATCCCCACCTACCATACTCTACTGCTCATAAATTAAACATTCTACGATGTCTCTTTTCTCAGCATCGGCTTCGTGTATGGTAATATCACCTTCCTCCACTGATGAAAAACCTTTGAGACTCCGTGATGCACGGATCCTCATATTTTGTGGAACTCACATATATTTTCGAAGAAAATAGCGAGTGTAAGTTTTAAGGTCAAGTTTTTGCGGCTCCTCTCCCTCCCCCCTTCACATTACAGACACATAGCAACCAAAAAGAACATTACATGCATACCCCCTCCCCTCAGTACAGACAGTCCCCCCTTACAGACCATAGCAACTTCACAAAAAAAGATTCTACTCGAAGTATATAAATGAAAAACGACAACATTTCCTAACAATCAATTATCATTAGAAAAGATTATCATCTCTGAGAGAATTTAAACATTATATATGTTGCCATCAGCAGAGTGAAAGTAAAGAAGATATGTGAGTTCCACATTTCAGCCCCAAAGGGGCTGTGCTAAAAAGTTTTTTTTGCTGTTCTCCATAAACTTCACATTGAGAACTCAAACTCAATGAAGCACAAAAGCTTTCTATATCACTTTTATCTCTTTCATACATGCACGCGAAAACGATATCATGGTTTAGGGTTAAAACAGTTCTTGGTCAGTAAACTCGTAATTTGCGTCAAAAAACTTTTTTTGTGCCATAAAAATGGTCATTTGTGCCATAGAGATGGTCATTTGTGCCATAAAAATGGTCATTTGTGCCATAAAAACGGTCATTTGTGCCATAGAAATGGTCATTTGTGCCATAAAAATGGTCATTTGTGCCAAGCGCTTGTTACAGACAGACAGACAAACACACGGACAAACAGACACAGGTGAATTACGGTTTCTAGACCCTAGCTTTTCATTCTAGGGAAAATTTGAAATGCGGATTTCCTCTAGACCAGTACGTGCAATTGTGTCGATTAACTGCTGTGTTCATATTGAATTTAGCTTCGTTGCTCCAAAATATACGATCAATTAAATCTGGATCATTCTTGAATTTTTCAAACGATATTTCGCAAAATTCGCTGCGGCGATCGAAATCATCCTCATTAAGGTCCACTATTAAAGTTGGATGATAAGGTTTAAAGTTAAGTTGCGCCATAACTACTTGGTAACTGCTTTTGCTTATACCAGCTTGAGCATCGCCTTGTCGAATAGACAATTGTGGATTATTACTGACCATTTCTTCTATTTCTTCCAGTTTTTCTTCTGAGAGTATAGTTACTGGTCGACCACTGCGTGGTAAATCTTCAACTGCTACAGTTTCATCAAACTTCCGATTGGTTGACAAGATTGTGTGTATATCCGGCGGACTTGTATCAAAATGATACTGCCACTGTCTGTGAACTTCGTGTGCATTACCAAACTTAGAAAAAAATCGTACTATCGCAACCTTTTCTTCAGTAGTACGGCGTGTAGGCATGTGTAAGAATTGTAAATGAAGGAAATGAATGTTATTTTGTATGTTATTCCCAATACATTATCATTTATACCACTATATTTTTTTCCTCTCTTTCATTCGTCTCAAAATCCACGTGCTTTTTCTCACACATGAGTATATGTTGTATACGTGTGTTGGTTTGATTACTGTGTGTTTAGAAAGGAGGAGAGAAACGAAGATAACGCTTAAAGTCAGAAAGTGAGTTAGTTTTTAACAGGAGATTCCAATCTCTGAGTCATATATATTGACGGTTAATAAATCATCACTAAATAAACCGTCCACTAATATATTAAACAGAGGTTTTCTCTCTTTATATATTGTATAAATAGACCAAGCCCGTATAAATGGTGTTTGGATTGTCTTCTACTATCAGAAAAAAAATCAGCTCATTTGAGTGAGGTACAATGAAGATATTCAAATTTTTCCTTGTGAAGTTACTTTCTGGACACCCTATATTACACAACTAGAACACAATACCGAACAATGGCAGCTATACATTCGTCCGGCTATTTTATCTAATGCTATAAATGCATGTGTGCAGAGTACTCAACAACGATTAAGACAAGAATTCGATTATAAAAAGAAAATGTTACCATTAGATTCAAACGGTCGTAATTTAATTACAAAGTTTTATTACTTAAAACCAAATGAAGAACAGGTTTACTTAACGAGGATTGTGTATATATCTATTTGTACATTATTTTCTGAAATTTAGATAACACTAGCCAAACAGATATGGCAAACAACAGCGAACATATTGAAAGCAAGGGCGCAATATGAAATCCTTCGTAAACGAATTTTCTTACGACGATTACCAAGTGCATATGATAACATAATTAATCAATTCATGGATTTTGTCGAGCCTATGCTTTCAAACAAAGTTCTTGATAACGATCAACGTGCTAGTTTAGTATCAAATTATTCAAAAACAATTACATAATATAAATTCGATTTAATGACTTTAAATCTCGATACCATTGAAAACATAATACGTGGTTATCAACAATTACTTAAGAATTTACAGAATAAAGTGTCAGAATGTTCCAGTGAAATATTGATTCAAGCTATTGAAAATCGTCGACAAGGAATGGAAAAACGTCATGAACTAACTATATCTTAAACATAAATTGAATACTTTTTTCGACGAAGCTCCGGCGACATTAACCGAATGAAGCAGTGTCGTGGTCGTCGGAGCACTATGTCAATTTATACTACTATCACTGCTTCGTTACCCTTTATTGAAGTCGATTTAAATTTAACACCATAACAAATGTCTATGTTTATTAATGGTCTCAAGTATATTGTACTATGTCAGAGCCGTTTATATTCTAAAAATGTAGAACAACATGTTAGTAAACAATATCAAAGTATATCAACTACAATTAAAAATTGTCTAAAAGATCATCAAATACCAACTGCAGATCAACGAGCAAAAAAGTGTTTCACGCATTGCAATGCATTTTATATGAAAAATTCAATCAAAAAATTACCGACAGTGCTAGAGAGACGTGCCAAGCATGAATATAAAATCGTACAAAGTATTCGAAGTCTTTTACACAGCCGATCAGATATTGTTGTGCGTCGCACAGATAAAAGCAAAGTGTTCTATGTTGGGAAAGCAACTGATTTGGCACGAGAAACCCAACAATATATGTTAAAAACAAATGTTTATCAAGAAATTACAAATGGTCACTGTCCTCTATCATATATGTTATATGCTGTTCAAATATTACTCTCAAGTCTTGTAGCACAGAAAGCTCTTACCATTGAACAATGTAAGAGAATAACTCCGAAAACAAATAAATTAGAACTTGGTCATTATCATGGTCTCCCCAAACCACATCAAGTAAAAACAATTCAGTTCAAATAGATGTAATTCGAATAGCTTTTTGTTTCTGTTAAGCCTGGTACACCATTACGTTCTATTATTGCATCGATTCATGGACCAGCTACTTTGGTATAAAAATTTTTGAATGATCTATTAGCACCTATTTATTTGGCTGTTGCTCGTCATACGACATTTATTAATGGCATTGATGTAATTA